TTGCTTTGAATAAACAAGCTGAAGAATATACTAATATATACAAGGTGCACAGTGTCATTCACGCAAACACAAAACACCATTATGCTAAAACACGACATTTAAAAAACTGCAATAAACATTCATTAAACAACAGATTATGTAACATAAAACCCTAATGTACATAACTGATAACAAAAACTATTAAGAAACATAGGTCTAGGGATATCAATGTACAGTTTTTGAATGTAAATTATACGCTGATTTGTTCTAAAAAATTGTACAATTAATAGCATTTTACTTTAAAACTAAAATGTACATGAAATGTGTAGTTAGATCTTTTACATTTGTTCCCTGTATATAGTACGGGAACTTACTGTTAACCTATTAATAGTTTTTTTTAGCGTTTTTATATTTCTCATATTTCTCAGTGTACGGTTTCCTGCAAAGCTGTGCTTGTGTTCTCTCTCTTTTTCTTTATGAATAAGCTATTATTATTATTATTACTATTATTATTATTTAAATCTTTATTACCAGTATATGTCCTTGTATTGCATTTATTTAGCACTGTAATACACTAATGAAAATAGATCAGAAATCATTTAACTTAATTGATACAGGAGATGATGCACACGTGATAACTGAGGAGTCATTTAAACAGCTGACACCAAAGAAACAACTATCCCTTGAAAAAGCTTCACTCAGCGCCATTCACAGCACGCAGACTCAAATGCCTGGGTCAGTTTCATGCAAGTGTTAATGGGGGCTTCAGGAAGAGGGCTGGGAACCACTGACCAAAGGAAAATATGTTCCCAAAATAGTCACAGTACAGTGTCTATATAGGGTTCAAGCCAGGATGTGACTAAAATGTCTTGCTGAGCTCTCCTATATATTCTACAACCCTAAAAGTGTCAGCAAGCAGCTAGCAGGAAGGTTAGCAATAATGATGTATGGAGATCAGCAGCATATTGTAAGCATTGCCGACAGCACAGCAGAGAACTGCTGATCACTGATTCTTGAAAAGTGGGACAAAACGGTGCAAAATTGAAAAAAAAAATATAACCTTGTACACGGACAGATGAAACTACATTTATGCATCTTATATGTACTAAGCTACTGAAATGTACTAAGGACGAAAATCTGAATTTGTAGTCCTTTTAACTATCAAATACATTGACTCAATCAATTACTGTATTAAAACAAACACAACAAACTGTTTATTTATTGTTATTGTTTATAAAGCTTTTATTCAAGAGTCATTTAAGTATTTTGATATATCATTGGAACTCAAAATCTTATGGTGGTGACATCTTGCGTGTTTGACAAATTTGGCATTTCTTTCACAAAACAAATGGAGTTCATGTAGTAGCCGTTTTTTTTTTTTTCTGTTGATGCTAGATGCTAATAGAACCTGCTTCAGGAGAATAAAATGATCTAAATATTTCAAATAATTTCCTCAGAAATTGGAAGATGGTGTTGACATATCATGGCTGTGACACAGGAAATATTAACATTAGGATTTAAAATATTCTAAAACTAAAACTTAGACAGTAAATAATGTCATTAGTTTTACCATCAGTTCAAGCCCGAAAGGGGAACAGACACAGTAATGATGCAGTACACAAGCAGCGGTTAAGACAGCTGACTCTACTGTGATGTGACGCTGTCTCTCTCTGTCTCTCTCTCACACACACACACGCGCGCGCGAGCGCGCACACACACAGACACATAATGCGCAAAACTCCGCATTTGAACAGTCAATAGCAAACGGTGTTGACAAATTTGGCATTTCTTTCACAAAACCAATGGAGTTCATGTAGTAGCCATTTTATTTGTTTCTGTTGATGCTAGATGCTAATGGAACCTGCTTCAGGAGAATATAATTATCTAAATATTTCAAATAATTTCCTCAGAAATTGGAAGATGGTGTTGACAAATCATGGTTGTGACACAGGAAATATTAACATTAAGATTTAAAATATTCTAAAACCATAAAACTTAGCAGAGCCTGACACTGATGTACTCTGCAGAGGAGAAATGTGACGAGGGGGTCATTTAGAGTGACAGCTGCCCCTGACATAGCCTGATTGAATTACATTTTAAAGGGGTCATATGATGCTTTTTTAAAGATGTCTGACGGTGTTGACAAAAAGTGGGTACACAACTTTGAAACCTTATGAAACATGCATGTGTCACTGAAAAACAACCTTGCTTTGATATGAGATATTATTAAGTGTTGCTTTTGATAAAACAAACTCTTTTTCACCATTAAAAAAACATATTTATCCATTTTATTGCATATGAATGATTGAACCCTTCTCTGTGGACACACTGTTTTAGATGTAGTGAGAAGACAAGTGTCATAGATTTCACATAATAATGATACAATTAAATTGAAGGGGATAATTGTGTTAAATACATTCTATTATTAATAATTGGTTTGGCACTGCACATGAGTTGGAAAGTGATGGTCCAGTTTTCTTGTAAAGAATTTAAGTAAAGAACATTATAAGAGAGAGAGAGAGAGAGAGAGAAAACCCTCTGATTTCTAGCAGAGAAGCATTGGGATTAGTGATTCTGAAACTTACCTGGCCAGAAGATGCAAAGGTTAGAAGTGAAAGGTAAACAAGCATTCTTCTACAACTGCCACAGTGAAGTCAGAAACCCGTACTGAGTCTAGGTGATGCTGTCAATGTCAGAGTGGATGACCAAAAAGTGTGGACCTTTCCAGCGTGGAGAAGTTAAGGGTCCTGCCACCACAGCATAGTTCCTATGTAGTGACGATTCTGTAAGGGACGCTTGAATTTTACCTAAATTTTGAATTTCGAAATTTGCTGTAACTACCTTATATAGTGTGGAAAAAATGCAACTAAAAAAAAAATTCATTATACAAACCTTTACGGTGCCCTATCTCACCATTACTTTTTAATCTTGCAGTCGAACGAATGTCTTTATTCATAAAAAATTTTGAGGATAATATAGGCATAGACATTCTTGGTAGGACCTTTACTATAAGCCAATTTGCAGGCGACACTCTTTTATTTCTTAAAAATAAAGAGGTGCTTCCATTAGTTATTGAAAAAAAATCTGTCTTCTCAAAGGCATCAGGTCTGACTCTAAACTTTAAAAAATGTGAATTAATGGCGATCCATAATTGTAACTTAGACGCTATAGAGGGCATTCCAGTGAAAAAAGAGGTTAAGTATTTAGGGTTTATGATTGATGTTGTTAATAGACAACACTCAAATTTTAACTCTAAAATAGAAAGTATGAAAAAATCCTTAAATCATTGGTTATCTCAAGACCTATCTATATTGGGTAGAGTTCTCTTGACTAAAACTGAGGGAATATCCAAACTTATTTATTTATCTCAAGCGTTGTATACTGCCCCAAGAGTAGTTAAATCGGTGAATTCAATTTTATTAAAACTTATATGGAAAAATAAAACACATTATTTAGGTAAATTCCATATGGTGAAAGAGTATGAACATGGAGGTTTGAAAGCCATTGATTTTGAATCTCTTCTTGGTACATGCAGAATAAAATGGTTGAAAAGAGTGTTTAACAAAGTCACACTCAATATGGTACCATATTCCTAACCACATTTTTAAAAATATTGGCGGCCTTGAATTTGTGTTGAGATGTGATCTCGACCCCTGAAAAATTCCTCTGAAGGTATCTAATTTTCATAAACAAGTACTGCTTTTTTGGAAAATGATATTTACCCACAACTTTTCCCCTCACAACTCCACTCTTTGGAACAATAGGGCTGTAATTATTAATAGGAAATCTCTGTTTAAAAGTGATTGGTATAGCCAAGGCATTATTTTTATTCATGATTTATTAGATGATAATGGCTTTTTCTTATCTTATAATGATTTCATTAATAAATACAGAGTGAGAATTACAATAAAAGGTTATAATAAGGTATGCAATGCTAGACCTGTAGTTTCTCTTCCCTCTTTGAAAATATGTAATGTTGACCTTTTAGACAGTAAGTGTAATAACAAACTTATTTACACAGAACTTAAATGTATTATCACTGGTGATTATAGTGTTATTTTCTGGGAGATGTTGAAACCTCAGTAAAGGACAAAGCTTTTACCCGTTATATGGCATACCCAGCTGCTCCAAAGGTCAAGGAGACTCATTACAAAATTATGTTTAGGATTTACCCAGTTAGTGACTTTATACAAAAACGATTTCATTTCGAGGTGGATCCTTGTGGTATAAACATTTCATTACACCAAATACACAAAATAATGTTCTTTTTAGCAGCATCATATGACCCCTTTAAGCAATAAAACCTGTATGAATTAGTCTGCTCTGCCATCTAGTGGCTTTATATAAAACTACAATATATCGAAGAACGGCAACAACAAATCCATACATCATAATTTACAGCGATCACAAAACCGTGCATACGTCACGTACGTGTCACAAATACGTATTAACATTGTGGTACGTATTAAAACTCTCATCTGCAGCTTTGGAAGCTTTGTATTAAAATCACTAACTTGCAGCAGACTAGCCTAGTTTTTATGTTAGTCTGCAAATTATCTGCGACTACTGATCAAGCATTTCGGGAAATTGTATACGCCACTGAACTCAATAAATTTTAATTTGGTCCATCTGTTGTTTGCGGAGATTATAAACTTAAATGTAACAATAATAAACAATAAAAAAATTACTCTGATAACGAATAACACGGTAGATAAGCCAATATTTGTACAAATAGCATAATTCTAACGAACCAAATTAGAGTCGACTGACTTACTACAATTGCATTTTATAGCAAATGGCTTCCAAAAACTAACTAGGTCAATTTTCTTTTATTTTCATGTTGGATATTTGTTTTATCTCAAGTAAAATACTACCAGACTACAAATGAAAAAAAATAAATAAAAACACTTAAAATATTTTCTAAAATACCCAACATTACATAAATACTCATACCAGTATTATGAGTCCATTCTATCTTTTAGTAGGAAGAACAAAAAAAAAAAAGCGCGAATCAGATGTCACGCAGATGCGTGACGTAGAATATTCAGTGTTCAGCGAGCTAAGAAAGAACATGGCGACTGACGAGGATTCGGAAGATTATTTTGTTCGAGAAATAGAGAAAAATGACGGGTCTGTTTTAAGAATGTATCAGTGCAGCAAAGGGGACGTGGGGTTACGCCTTCTTTCTTTGCGTGAACATTTGGGCGGCGTTATGCAAATCTTCCCACATCGTGACATAGACATGTGGGTGCGTGTTAGAACGAGCCGTTTTAGGTAGGCGTGGTTGAATCTTAACTTTTATAAAGAATATCTCTTTGGATTTGAGACTTTAGTCTTTGCAACTTTACAGATCTTCTTTATGCACCAAGAGCTTGTAACACTCCAAAGAGAAAGGAAAACTTGAACTCGCATCATATGACCCCTTTAATAGTTAGTAAGGTAGTTGTTAAGTTTAGGTATGGGGTCGGATTAAGGGATCTAAAATATGGTCATACAGATTTAGGCATTAATATGTGGTTTTTAAATACTAATAAACAGCCAGTATGCTAGTAAGCAAACTAGTAAATAAATAGCGAGAATAGGTCCTTAAAATAAAGTGTTACCAAAGTTTTTTTTTTATTTCATGAAAATGTATTATGAAATAATGACAACTTATGAAACATTTTCCTTTTAAAAGGGGAGGAAATGTCGAAGAATTTCTACCTCCTCCTCATTATATTCTGATGGCTGATTGTATCTACTATGAGCAGGTACTGTAACAATGAATATTGCACAATAATTTATTTAATTTTCTTAATTTTTCTTAAACCTGTGTTCCCATACAGCAATAGTTAGCTCTGCAGTGCTGAATAATTAACATTACTAGGTTTAATAGCCTCAGTGTTTTATATTCCACAGTCTGTGGAGCCACTGGTGGAGACTCTGAAACTCTTGGCTGGACCAGAGACGTGTATCATCTGTTGCTATGAGCAACGCACTGTTGGTGTAAATCCTGAAATAGAAAAGAGATTCTTTGAGGTAAGAGAATCAAGCTGTAAAACACTAAATAGTTACATTGTCATATTTAGTGGCACATGTTAATGAGAGTGTATTAGACCAGTTGGTCTTTTAGCTCCAACTCCAAGTAATGGTATGCAGATTATATATATTTAATTGTATGAGTTAAAAGCCAGTTAAATGCATCGCCATGCTAAATCTGCTGTTATCTTATTCTTCATCAAATACTCTGTTTCACAGCTACTTCTGCAAGAATTCCAGTCAGAGGAGATCCCATCTGAGAAACAAGACCCTGAATTCAACAGTCCTGACATTCGCATTCTCCACCTGCGACGAAGAGTCGACTGAATGGCTTTATTTGCTCTTCTGTTTGAAATGGCGAGGATGGGTTGTTTGTGTTTCAATGGACTGTGGTGTTGTTGGTCAGATGTTTGACACTGAACCATATGAATACAAACTGTTTTTAAGTGCTTATTATGTGGTATGGGAGGTCGGCCTTAATGTGAGCTTATGTGTCTTTGCAGACAAACAGGTTTAAGTGAATGGTTCTGTGTGTTAACTGGCAAAAATATAGTGAATGGTTCTGTGTGTGTTAACTGGCAAAAATATAGTGAATGGTTCTGTGTGTGTTAACTGGCAAAAATAAATCTCAAATGTGTTTTTTACATACCGATTTAGAGAATGTTAAACTGAGTGTGATCTGTAAATAAACACTTTAAATTAACAAAAAGCATTTTGTTGATGCTAAATAATTAAAAAACCTTTAGAAAATGCTAGAAAAGTATATCACTAAACATGAGATTGTGTTGTTGCAACTTTTTTTACAGGAGGGTCAGTTTTGGCCATTGTTATTCTGGGTTACTGAACGCATTACGCATTAGAGATAGCAAAGTTGTGGTTGCAGTGTACAGTGGAGATATTTACAATAAGTGGAATCTTTCAGAATTTCTTCAGATTTGAGTAACTAAAGAGCTACATCTGGATGCAGACATACTTTGACTTTAATTGCAATTCTTGAGATTTGAAGCTAATCTATTAATTAGATTCTTACTAATGTTTGTATTTAAATATTTGGATCATTGTTAATTACAGAGTCAGATGTGACAATTTCTCTTAATTTACTATATTGTAATTCAGTGATTCAAATTTGGGGCACTTGGAAACATTAAGAGTTTTATGTGTTTATGTGTGACTTTAAAATTTAAAATAATAGGGATTTATTTTATTGTGGAAAGTGTACAGGTAAAGTATATACATATATATTGGGGTTGTCTTTGGTGGAAAAAAATGCTAATAGAGTGTTTTGCTGTGCCAAAAATATTATGGAGTCAATATCAGAAGCTTGTCCAAATGCTAATAGTAATACTGAACAGTAATGTTCAACTGATTGTACTTCGAACCACCTGATCTTACCTGGTATCAACGCAAATACAGTATATAACTGGTTTAAAATAAAGCTTATACTGAATTTAGTGGTGGGAAAATAACAGGACTGTGAAGAGATCAATAGCTTGAGCTTCTGTATTTTCATGATCTCGTATAAATGTAACTTTTTTTTAAGGATTAGTCAGATGCAGGTTCTTCGTTAATACTTATATATAAACAACATTTAGCCTACTGGTTTACCAACATGCTATGTTCAGACTTAGGGCTATATTTGGTGGTAATTACTGTTATGCAGTTTTACAGGTGGGAGGAAAAACCTTTTACACATAATGCTGCGCCCTTTTCTAAAAACAGCTTTCGGTCAGAACGGAACTCAAGAGCCTAGGGCAGAACAAAAGAATAAGTCGAAAGAGAAAACTCATTTAGGTGAACTCGCAGAGTTGTCGTCGTATCCTAGAAGGTAAAGTATATCATTTATATCTAAATAATTTAATTTGTCTGCTAATTATAAGCCCGCGAACAACTTTAAACTTTTTTTATTTTCTGAAAAAAAAATAAAAATAAACAGATTTTTCAAAAAGAAAAAAATGCCTCCACCTCGTTTGAACCACCCAAATCTCAGGAATGAATCCACCACAAAAGACAAAACAGGCACTCTTGATGTCCCTTTGAAATTCTTGGATCAGGACTACCAGGAGCTGCAGAAGAGCTGCATCACCAATAAAATGAGATTTGTTGATGACAAGTTCCCTCCAGACAGCAGCTCCATTGACCCACAGAAGAAACTTAAAATGGATCTGGGCCAAATCAAGTGGTTGAGACCATCAGTAAGTAACCTGTACTGACTTTCTATCTTCAGATGTTCAGTAACTTTAAAAAAGATCTCAAAGTAAATAGACATTATTGCTTGAAAGAATTGAGAAAAAAAAAACTTGTTGAAAATAACATGCAATTAAGTGTTGCAAAATGTCTCTTAGGGCTTGTCAGAACAGGTTCACTATTGTGACAAGACATCTCAAGTGTCATGAAAGCAGACCCAAAGTACATTATCTGAGACAATTTCGTTTTGTGGTATTCACAAATCTCTAGACCAAATATTAATGCATAATTTATTTATTTTTTCTCGTTAGAATATAGTATCAGACCCTCAGCTCATTGTACAGGGTGCTTCTAGGTTTGACTATTCCCAAGGATCTTATTTAGGTATGTTTCATTATGTATTTATTTACATCTCCAGTAATCGCTGGTTTTTAAATGATACCAACCCAATAAATAATGTCACTGTATATACACCAGGAAGACTTTATCAACTCATTGAAAGAATATTTGTACCTTAACCTTAGGAAACTGCTGGTTTCTTGCTTCAGTTGGGGCTTTAACATTTCAGAAGGACATCATGGACCAGATCATGCCAGCTGACCAGTCATTTGCTAAAGATTATGCAGGGATATTTCACTTCAGAGTGAGTTCTTTGGTCTTTTTCAACATAACTTGATTACATTTTTTTTGTTTAAATCATGTATCAGCCATTAAGCCTTATGCTCTGCAAATTCTTAGTTCTGGCGATTTGGTAAATGGATTGACGTTGTCATTGATGACAAACTGCCAACAATCAAAGGAAAGCTCATTTTTGTTCATTCAAAAACATCTAATGAGTTTTGGCCTGCCTTACTGGAGAAAGCTTATGCCAAGTAGGTGCCAATATGTTAAATATTTTCATTTTCATTGAACATAAATATATGCTTTTACCATAATTATAAGCGTTTATGACCCTTATTATATGTTTTGTTTGTAACACATTAGAATTTAATCTCTAAGAATCCAACATTATAAGCATGTTTGCAATGCCTCTTACAGGGTGTGCGGCTCCTATGCTGACATGCATGCTGGTTGTGTATCTGAGGCTCTGCTGGACTTCACCGGTGGCATCCATGTGTACTTCAAACTGAAACAAACTTCCACTGATTTGTGGAGCCTGATGGACCGCGCAGCCAAAGCAAAGGCCCTTATGGGCTGCAGCACTTCTCGTGGGGTAAGGAGTTCCAGTGACCTCAGTCTGAAACGTTCATACATATGAACTAAATATAAACAACAGTAAGAAACCATGCAGAGCACCGATTATACATAATACCGTATTTTATCTTTGTGTCATTAATGATATAATATGTTTTAATCTATATCTATATATCTATCAGGATACATCCGCAAACACAGTATTACCCAATGGCATCGTTCAAGGCCATGCATATACTGTGACAGGGGTTTTCAAGGTGAGTTTGCACAGAATTAAATGTCATTTAAATGTCATGTAATTAGGTCAGTGGTGGGAGAAATACAAATGCTTTGTCTCCCAGTGCAAATTCCTACAGCTGAGTTCCCCTCTTATACTTAATTATACATTATACAATTATACAATTATACATAATTGCTCTTATGTCCAGCAATTATTAAATTTTGTTCTTGAAAGTTCCTCTTTCCAGTTCTCTTTAAGGATGTCAAGCACACAACACGGTCAACATCCATAGAACAGCTCAAATGGGTAAAACCCAGTGAAAGCTTGAGGAACCTCTCAGACTGTGAATAACGAGCTTATTAAGCCGCATCCCAAGTTCTAACTTACTGTTAAACTTACAAATCATATATTTCATGTCTGATTAATTTATTCAACTGGCCAATAAATTTGGGTATAGTAAATGTTAGTACGAATCAACTTAATTCCTAACCATTCAAAGATTCATACAGTCAATTCATACAGTATTCATGAAATACAGTTGAAGTCAAAAGTTTACATACACCTTGCAGAATCGGCAAAATGTTAATTATTTTACCAAAATAAGAGGGATCATACAAAATGCTTGGTATTGTTTATTTAGTACTGACCTGAATAAGAAATTTCACGTAAAAGATGTTTACATATAGTCCACAAGAGAAAATAATAGTTGAATTTATAAAAATGACCCCACTTACAAGTTTACATACTGTATGCTTGATTCTTAATACTGTGTTGTTACCTGAATGATCCACAGCTGTGCTTTTTTGTTTAGTGATAGTTGTTCATGAGTCCCTTGGTTGTCCCGAACAATTAAACTTCCTGCTGTTGTTCTTCAGAAAAATCCTTCAGGTCCCACAAATTCTTTGGTTTTCCAGCATTTTTGTGTATTTGAACCCTTTCCAACAATGACTGTATGATTTTGAAATCCATCTTTTCACACTGAGGACAACTGAGAGACTCATATGCAACTATTACAGAAGGTTCAAACGCTCACTGATGCTCCAGAAGGAAAAACCATGCATTAAGAGCCAGGGGGTGAAAACTTTTGAACAGAATGAAGATGTGTACATTTTTCTTATTTTGCCTAAATATCATATTTTTTTTCATTTAGTGCTGCCCTCCAGAAGCTACAGAAGATACTTACATGTTTCCCAACATACAAAATAAGTTAAATTTACCCTGATCTTCAAATTCAAAAGGTTTTCTCCCCCCGGCTCTTAATGCATCGTTTTTCCTTCTGGAGCATCAGTGAGCGTTGGAACCTTCTGTAATAGCTAATAATCATGGAGCTGTTGAGCATAGGCAAATGGGTAGCTGCTTTCTATGAAGGCTGGGATCGGAACTGCTGTCAGTGCTGTTGTGACAGTAGAATCTGGCATTCTACAGAAAAGTAACAAGCCCACAGTAAGGGTTCATAGCCTTTCATTATAAGCATTTTGAACAGAAAGTATGTGAATTTGACAGGTAACATCCCAAGGAGAACCAGTAAAGCTGGTGAGAGTGTTGAACCCTTGGGGAAAAGGCGAGTGGTCCGGTGCCTGGAGTGACAAGTAAGAGTCACATGAAACTCATTAATTGATGTATGAAGTGTCATTGTATATTTACTAATATTTACTTTTTGATTGTGTAGCAGAAGAGCAGGTTAGTTTTGTGACACACTATCACATTGCAAAACCATTTTGTTGCATAGCTGTACGTGCATCCTGTCACTGGAATCCACATTTAATTTAATTTCATGTTTACTGCAGACCTGTTTAAGCAACTCACCAATACCATGTTCGAGAGATTTTATTTTTTTATTTTTTATTTTTGTGTTCATAGTTCTGAATCGATTTCTCCTCCAGAGCGCAAGAGGTTTTGCTATATTAGCCATATAAGTGTGCATGGAAATAGTAGAACGCCTTGGTATCTTTAGGATACTAATTTCAGCATACTATGTTGTGGTACACTAATTTTAATCTTGCATACAATTTGGGTCTATACTAAGCTTAGCTTACTAACATTAAAGGGATAGTTCACCCAAAAATGAAAAT